TCAGAGCAACACGTAAGCATGAAAAGTAGCAAATCAAATGCCCAAAGAAAACCCCAGTTAATCCCAGCGAAAGAGAAATCTCTAGATGATCGAATAAATACATGTACAATGCACACAACAGTGAGATCCATAAAAAGATCTGGGACCTATAAGAATAGTGCCGAGAATACTGCTTTTCACATGCCTTTACAGTTTACTAACATGGAAGGAGAAGAATGTCTTCAAAACAAATGATGTGATGCCTTCCATAAAAAACTGTTTTAATCTTCGTCCCTTACTATTAAGCATCTCAAGATGATATATCTGGAGCATATATGCAAGCATAGGCCACTGGTGCCTATGACATATGATATCAGATGCAGATCATGTAGCCTTTAATTAGCCCCCAATTAACCCACATTAGCTCAGAACTCCTCAGTCCCTGATGCATGCAAGCATGATCTTTTCACAAATCTATGTGCTGAGAGTGCATTGTTTATTTGGCCGCCTAAAGGTGGGTTCTTTTCTCATGAGCAAGCATGCTATGCGTACTAATGACTGATTGACTGATGCATGGATCCTGCGGAACCGATCGATTAATCATGAAAAGAAGAGAGATCAAGCTAGATCTCGATTCGATTACATATAGAACTCCAAAGTCGACCCAAAGTATGGCTTGCACAACATGCAGAAAGGGAGACACTGACATATATAATTCATGTTGGCTATATATAGATAGATTCATAGATAGATTGCTTCTTAGCTTAATTAACCTGGGAATGAGCTAGCTCGATCCCATCAGTCTCCCCGAAGCTTCCTTCCTTGAGCGTCAAGGCCGGCCAAAGCGCACATATCATTCTCCACATCCATCGGTCTTGAGAGTAGGAGAGGTAATCCACATGCACTGCACAAGGCAAGATTGTAGCACAGATAACACATGAAGCTGCATATATACATATGCATGATTACAGTGCAACAATTTACTCAAACGGGCCACTCACTGTTGGTTGGGTGCGCCAGTTCACATGCTGCTGTCGCCTCCTTCCTTGTGATCCATCACAATGCTCTCTGATCCTGAGGTGGTGGTGGTGGTGCTAATGGCGTTCACAGCCCAATTCGCCATGGAGGCGTAAGGGATCTGCACGGGCGCCACCTCAGCGGCGACGCTGCCTCCAGCGTTGTTGCTGCTCCGCATATTGTAGTAGCAACCGGCGGAAAGAGGTGGCTGTGGCACTATCGCGTCCACAAGCCCGAGCCTCCGGAAGCCACCGCCACTTCCGCCGCTGTACATGCCGCCGCCGAGCTGCCCGGGGCACGGCATTGCGGCGGATGAGAGCCTGCCGGTGGGGATGCTGGCCGTGACGACGGGAAGCGCGGTGGGGATGCCACCGAGCTCGCCGCAGGCGTAGCGGAGGAGCTCGGTGTGCGCGGCGTCGAGCTCCTTCTGGAGGCGGTGGACCTGGCGCTGGAGCACGGAGATGGCGCCGACGCAGCCGTAGACGGGGTCCTTGACCCGCGCCTCCGCCTCGTAGGCCAGCGAGCTAACGGCGTCCTCCCGCTGGTGCGGCGGCAGCTCGTTGAGCAGCTTGGTCACGTTGCTGGCGCCGAACACCTTGTGCACGTTGGCGAACTTCTGCGGCTCCTCCGGCGGGAAGTAGGGCGCGAACACGCAACCAGGGAGGCACTTGCGCCGCAGGAACTTGCACGCAGCGCACGGCGCCCCGGCCCCCGGTGTCGTCGGTGCTGCGACCACCACGGAGACGGCGGAGTTGCCGGTGCTCGACGGAGATGCCATTTGCCAGCGACCTGTGTATATACACCAATTTAAGAGAGCTGTCAAAGGGTTAGTCATTTTCCCCAGAAAAATATTTGTTTCTTCCGATGCTAGCTAGTTCTAGGGTTAGGGTTTTCCTGGAGTGAGGATCGTTCTGGGAAGGTAGAAGGAGATTAGGGTTTGGGAGCTTAAGGTGTTCTGATCTGATCTTTGCGAGCTCGACGCAAGAAATGGGGAAAATAGGTGTATCTTTTTCTTTCTTTTTTCAACTTCACAACAAGGAGGCACACAGAAAAACTGTAGATTCACTCATAGCAGTGGGATGATTTGACATATGGCTGCTAAAAAAAATCAATGAAAACAAATGCATGTAGAGCCTGATCCACTAGCTGTATGAAAGCATATGCGTGCATGTATGATGATATGGCACAAGAAGCACAGATTTCCAAGTAAAAATAGCATGATGTTTGCTCAAATCTCAAGAAGCATGAACAATATAATAGTGGCAAGAGAAGGACAGGCTGCAAAATTTTCCTTTCTTCTCAAATTTCTCTGAGGCGCATCTAGCTAGCGAGCTAGCAAAAGACCCTGCTCATCCTTACCTCTTTGGGGTCAACTAGCGGAGAGAAGGATATAGATCTGATGATCTGACGAAGGCGGGCAAAGAAAATATTTGGGAGAAATTTCCTCTCCCCTTGTTGCAGCCCGTCTCTTCCAAGATTCACAAGCTTCACAGCATGGCAAGGAGGAGAGAAATTTTGAATGGAAAAACAGGCAAACAAACAGGAGGACTAGTTCTTGTCTCCTTGGCAGTGAATCAAAGAATTGTAGGAGGAGGAGCTAGCACATGATCAGGCAGGACAGCCTAACTACTGTCTCTCTGGCAGCAGTGATCTGTGGGAGAGAGGGGGGAGATATAGAGAACAGCTTCTCCTCCTACAACAACTGCAGCAAGGGAAAGTTGAGGTGTGTAGACAGGAAAATAGAAAAGCAAGCCAGTATTGAGTGAGGGAGCCAGATAGTTGAAAGAATAATGTGGAGGCGTTGCAAAAGGGTGGGGGACGGAGGGGAGGGAGGGAGGAGAGAGAGGGTAAACAGATAAACAAGGACAAACTGGGATTAATTGGCAGTACAAGCAAAAGTGTGAGGGTGACATTGCCACTACTCGTAAGAATATCTACAACAGTGCCTCCTCATCTCATCACCATTCGCAAATAGTTGCTGCTGGGTACGTACTAGCTCAAGAGTTCGTATGTATACTTATGTTTTCTTATACATACATACATGTATATATGTATACACACATGTACGGACCTGATAAATATAAGCAAAAATAATTAGCCAAACGTGCCCTTGCTGCAGAATAGTAATACATGATTTTGCAAAAGAAAGAATAGTAATACATGTATGTGTGTACATTAACCCAAGAAAAAATATATTCTTTTTTCCTTGAAAAGCAACTTATATGCATGTACTCGACCCCTACCGGCCTATATCATCATGCAAAGGACAAAGCACATGCGAGTAATATGTACTATGCATATTGCTTTGTAATTAATGATAGGTATAATTAATAAAACTAATGGGAAAACATAAATATGTCAATTGCTAGGTAATAAAAACACACTTCCAAGGCTAAGAAAATACACTCAATTACTATTGTCGACAGTACATGATCTTAATCACTCAAGCTATGCTTAAAACAAAACAAAAAAGCAATTAATCATCAGTGCTTCCGGTTTAGAGTAATCATGCACTCTCATGCATAAGTGAGCTTAATTGTTCCTAATCCAACGCTTTGCCTAAGCAAGCTGCACAATCATAAACAAGCCGACGATACGTAGACACTCACACCCGTGGCGATCAGTAGCTAGCACAGGCGGGGTGTGCGATTGCTTCTGTTAACCAATTAATCATTTGTTAATTGCTTCCATCTCATAATCAAAAGCGCGGCGGTATAATTGGCAATCATTAGTGAGGAACCCATCAGATACAAGTTAGGTCATTGGCATGCATCGTGTTCCAGTTTATGCCTAAGGAATTAAGTGAGGTTCTTACAAATCAGGTCTAGCTAGCTAGCTACCCCTAGGGATGTTCTCGGTTAATGATTGAATTTGGAGCCGGCTACATCAGTCTACAGTGTGTAATAAATATCAAACATTGTCCATGTACACGTTAAAGCAATAACCTACTATCTCCGTTCCTAAATATAAGTCTTTTTCCATATTCCAATATGGACTACATACGGAACAAAATGAGTGAATCTACACTTTAAGATATATATGCATGTAGTTCATATTAAAATATTTAAAAATACTTATATTTAGGAACGGAGGGCATAGTTGTCATAACAGATTTCATTGGTTATACTCGTTCTGTCCAAAAATAAGTGTCACTGATTTAATACAAATACAAAGTTAGTACAAAGTTGTACTAAATCAATGATAGTTATTTTGGGATGGAGGAAGTATATTATATGATCACAAAAGAAAATGAATTTGCTCATTATAAGGCTTTGTTTGATTCTTTCATTTTCTTACCACATGTAACGTCCAGATTTAAATTACTTAATCCATGGCAAATACAAAGTGCTTACATACAGCAGACAACGGGCAAAACAAAATAAACCAAAAAAAAAGAGAAACATTACTTGAAACAATGAGATCATCACCCACTGGTGTGG